GATTAATCATCGTTTTAAGTGCAAAATACATGGTAAAATTGAATGTTTGCCAATATTTAAGAATATAAAAAGACTCGCATCGGTCATAAAATTGACACGAAACGATCATTTATCGTTGTAAGTGATACGCAGACGGTAAAATTGAAGGAATCCCTTGTACTAATCGAAAAAAAACATTAAAATCAGCATCCGAGTAGATGCTTTGTTTCGTAATAATTCAAGTAGAAAGGAAAAAAACGTATGTGATGAATACATTTGGGGGAAATGTAGTAGAATAATTTCTCGCTTGTTTCAGAGCAGCTAAATATGATTTTCCTGCAAAATAAATTCGTTGAAATCCACTGTTAGTCGTAGGTCGAACGTGCGTTTTTTTTATTTTATTTTTTTTACAAATTTCACAATTGGATCGACTAGCTGCTGAAATATTTTACATTTCATTCATACATAAAGTTCCTTTAACACGGAACTGTATTGCATTTCGATTAATAACTTTCACACATGGAAAAAAGGGAAGAAGGTATAATTCACTCACCGACGAGAAGACTGTACGTCGCAAAATATGCCAACAAATTAGCAACTAATGACGATGCCACGAGTCCGGACCCTGTCATGAAAATTCCGGCGACTAAAAGACGATGCCCGAAAATCGCCACCAGAGGTTTTATAAAACTTGCTGCGAACGAAGCAACAACAACAAACACGCAATTTGAATCAAAGTTGACTTTTTCAAATCAAGGATATTGACACGAACTTGATTACCTCACCTGTCAAATAAAACAACGCTTCTCCAGCATTGTAAACGGCGGAATAAATGAGAACACTATGGTCATCAGCAGCCTCTGTTTTTGCAATCGGTCTCCTGAACAGCAACGAAAATGACGACGGGATGCTGAGTACGCATGCCTTTGCATCATCAACAAAAGACAAAAATTCAATAAAAAAAACTATACATTCTGTACATGGAGACATGCTTCATTCGATAATTTCATCATAGGGCTACGCCATTGGAATTTTAGGACGAGACAAAAAATTCAGAAACTCTGGTTCTACAGTATATTGTAAAATAAGTTTGGGCTCAAAATAACCAGTTAGATGAGATTACTGTAATACAATTAAAACGATATCAAACTCATTATAAAAACACTAATGACGAGGTATGGTCAATTAGTTGTGAAAACCTAATTTCTGTTTAAACACATGCTTGAACTCGGCTTCGGTTAAAAAGATATAAGTAACCTTCCTTCTTTCGTCAGAAAGGCTCTTTACCTTAAGCCTTATGTGTACAAGAGAAAAAAAATTTAAACGAAGTTCGAAAGTAATTGTGGATCAAATACAGCAACGAAAGCATTTACGCTAAACTATGGAAAGACTTTCGAAACCCACAAATTCACCAACTAATACTCTAGTCATATATAAATGTACATTAATTTATACCGAAGCTGCCCTAAAAAATAGTGATCATTTGAAATTCAGGTTGCAAGATAACTGTATTTAATTTGCATAAGGAGCATGTCGGAATAAATTCACTCACCCCAAGAACACAAGCACATGCCAGAACAAGCCAAGAACCACAATGGTTTTCTCCGCTATCTGCGAATAGCCCGTCATTCAGGCGTCCACTTGCAGCTTCTAAAATTTGAAAGAACATCCATTTTGTGTGAAATTAAGTAATAATTTGTAGACCAGCTGGTGGCCACTTTTGTGCGTGAAATCATAATAGTCACTTCATCAAAGAAATTTCCTCGTCTTTTTAGAATGGCTCTCTATGCTCACGTATACTTCGTATATAGGTTGCCGAAGTTTGGCATATATAAAATATTACCGCACATTTTCACGCACCAATTTTTTTCGAGTTTAGCACGGAGTACACATGATGAACAGTATTTGTGAATATGCCAAAACGCAAGCAATTTATTATTGAGACATTGAGCAAACAAAATCTGAATAGATTGACTCATTTACTACTTCGGATCATGAAATGCAGCAGTCCTGTTATTATTTAAACCATTTTTGACTTTGAATTTCCTCAAATTTCCATTATCAGGAAAATTCATAAGATGAATTCATGAGTTTTCTTCGCCTATGGGTTGTGTTTTTTTTTCTCAAAAATCTGCCGCATTTTCGCGGTCTTCACAGTTATTTTAGGAAATCTAAATTAGATCATACTTGTGTGATTTTTATGACATTTTGACTGGTATATATCTCTTTTAACAGGTAAACTTTCATGAGGAAAATTCCGGAGCATTTTTGCGCGCAGAGTGCAGACTGCATTTTACAAGAATATTTTTCCTTTTTTGCGCCCTCCTCAGTTTTTTTATGAAATCCAAATCAAATCACGGTCCAGTGATTTTTATAACATTGTTGAATATTAAAAATGTTCGCTCCTCTCACATAAGCAGAGAAAATGAGAAAACAGAAAAATTATGACGTAGATAGAATGACTCTTTTCCCACTTGAGTCATAATAATGCGAAAGTCCAGTTCATTACTAAAAACATTTTTTACTGTAAATTTTATCAAATTTTCAGTTTCAGGAATTTTATAAGATGAATTGATAAGTTTTATTCGCCTTAGGGTTGCATTATTTCGAAAATCTTTCACATTTTTGCGACCTTCACAGAATCACAGTTATTTTGAGCAATCCAAATCAGATCATACTTCCGTGATTTTTACATAATATTTTTACTGAAAATTGTCTCTCACTCCCATTTTCTAAAGTTTAATGAGGGAAAATCCCGAGCTATTTTTTTCCGTGCTGACTCCATTTTTCTATAATGTTTTTCAACCTTGTGCGGACCACTTAGTTTTTTTTTTTTTTTTTACGAAATCCAAAGCACGGTCCAGTGATTTTTGTAACAATTCTGACTGAAAACTTTTGCTTTTGGAATTTCCGAAGGGGAGTTTCTGCTTTTTTTTTGTGTGCGCTGCATTTTTCCGAAAATTGTTCACAATTGTTTTTGTCCTTCAGCAAATGCGAATCGAATCCCATTTCGTTAAAAATCCGGGTGCAGCCCGGGCGCGTGAATAAAGTACAGTACAGTACTGTACAATACATCAAGGAAAATCAACGACGGAGAATTTACGGCCCCAGTGTGGGATAGAATCAGTTCATACATAACTATAAAGGCTACTTTATAGCAGAGAACAACTTTCGACGAGTGATCATTAAATGAGTATTCAAATGACTATTACAGTATATACTCGTCATTCACTCGGTCACCTGGAGAGTTGGAAGTAGGCGTTTCCTGGTCTCTTCCGCCGCCAGCGTCGTCCTCCACAGCTGCGTTCGGTTCACTGCCCCCGTTATCA